TGGGTCAGGGAGGTGAAGAAGGAGAAGTGGGAGGAGGGATCGGGGAAGAGAAGAGGGAGGGGAAGAAAAAGATTTTTTTATTTGTTTTATTTTTACTTTTATTTATTTATTTTTATTTAGTTTTTTAATACCCATATGAGCTCATATTGACACGCAGTAGCTAGTTATTGTCAACGTGGACGCATTGACGGAAAATTTAACAGATGTAAGAAAGTATTTCAAAATTGAGACTTTAGCTATCAAACTGGGACAAAAAAACCTTTATGTATGAAATGTTAAAAATAAAAAAACTTCATAGTAGTAAACTGAAATTAACCTTAATTTTAAGTAACTATTTCGTTTTCAATATTAGTTTTTGGTTTTCAGTTTTTACTTCTTTGAAAACTAAAAATTAAAATCTTGTTTGACAACACTTTTAGTTTTGACTTAAAAAAAAAAAAATGAAAACCAAAAAATGAAGTTTTTCTATTTTTGGTTTTCAATTTTCGGCTTTTAGTTTTTACGTTTTTGTTTACAGTTCTCAGTTTAATAAAAAGTGAAAACTAAAACAAAAACTAAATAAAAAGTGAATTGAAAACTGAAAGTAGTTACTAAATAAGATTTTAGTTTTCAGTTTTATAAAAACTGAAAACGAAATGGTTGGGCCTTAAGTTTTCATTTTTGCTTTGTTGAATTTTAGCAACCAAGATTTCAGTTTAAGAATTGTAATGGTATCTGGAGATTTTGACTCATCAATTTCTGAAAGATTAATGTAATCTTGAAGTTGCATAATAAATTTGTACTTTTGCTTTGTTAAATTTTAACCACCAGGCATGATGGAGCCTATATCAGGAACGTTATTGCTTGGATCGCTGAAAAACTGGGCAGAACCAGATGCGTAGAGGTACCCACCAGCCTAGTTGGAATAGATTCTCGCGTACGAGAAATTAGTAAGCATTTAGACGTTGGAGGATCAAATGATGTTCGCATAATTGGAATTTTGGGTATGTGCGGACTGGGTAAGACAACGGTTGCAAAAGCCGTTTTCAACAAACATCATCATAGTTTTGGCGGTGCAAGTTTCCTTCAAAACGTGAGGGAAAAGAAACTGGTTGATTTGCAAGAACAACTTCTTTCTGATATCTTGAAACCGGCCTACATAGTGGTAAGTAGTATGGATGAAGGGACCAAGGAGATCGAACAAAGGTTAGGCAACCTAAGGGTACTTGTCGTAATTGATGATTTAGACAGTGTAGAACAATTAGATGCTTTGGCTATAAAACCTGACTCCTTTGGTCTGGGGAGCAGAATCATTATAACATCAAGAAACGAACATTTGCTAAAGATACTTGACGTGGATAAGATATGTCCTCTGCCAGCAATGAATGACAAAGAAGCTCTTGAGCTACTTAGTTGGCATGCCTTTAGAAAGAATTATCCTAATGAAGAGTATGTTGAGCTCTCAAGAAAAGCTGTTGGCTGCTGTGGAGGTTTGCCACTAGCACTTGAAGTCTTAGGTTCTTATCTACGTACAAAAAGCACAAGTGAATGGGAAACTGTACTGGATAAATGGAAAAGATCACAGCCTTATCGGGAAATTCACGGAAGACTTGAAATAAGCTATGATAGGCTAACTGATGATGACGTGAAGGCTATATTCCTTGATATCTCTTGTTTCTTTAGTGGAATGAACAAGGACTATGTTATGACAGTACTGGATGGCTGTCAGTTTTATCCAGAAATAGGGATTCGAGAACTCCAAGATCAATGCCTTGTAACTGTTGATAAAGAAGGCAATCTCATGATGCAGGATTTGATTCAAGGCATGGGCAGAGAAATTGTGCGTGCAGAATCCCCTGACAATCCTGGAGAACGTAGTAGATTGTGGCATAATGAAGATATAACAGGCGTATTGACGAAGCAATCTGTGAGTACTTTTGCAATTAAATTTGATGTTAAATGCATGTACTAATGGAGCAGAGAAAGGAACCTGTAAGAGACAAAAAAGGAGCCTTTTTGTATTGAATCATCTCAAATTAAATAACAGAATCACACATGTCCTGCTCTCGTTAAGTACAATTTGTGAATTATGATACCCGTAAAAGAAGCTTGCTAAAGATACCTAATTAATGTAGACAGATGTAAAGTACAACTCTATGGTTATAATCCAGACATATAAGCATATTATAGTAGATATATAATAAAAGTTGCCTATGAGAGGTCCCATGTTCTATATTGTCTAATTGTCTACCTCTCATGTGGTTCATCCATCCAATTCAAGGCTTTGTGGTTCTGATGTATGAATTAATCTCCTTTTCACTTGCATATAACCCTTTTCTTAGTTCCTCTGTTGTTGTTGTTGTTGTTGGTTTGTATGTAATTTTCAACTATTTTTTGTAATAGGGAACGGAAGACGTTGAAGGACTCGCTCTAGATATGCAAGAGTCTGATCAGTGTAGCTTCAGTACAGAAGCATTTAGAAAGATGCAGAATCTGAGATTGCTCAAACTCAATAACATAAAGCTCAATGGAAGTTACGACAATCTTTCCAAAGAGTTAAGATGGTTGTGTTGGCATGGATTTCCTCTGAAGTTCATACCTAAAGATTTCGATCAACCAAACCTAGTTGCTATTGACCTGAGCTATAGCAAACTCAAACGAGTTTGGGAGGATACTGACGTGGTATGATACGATCTCAAACAAATTATTAATTATTTTCTTCAGCTTCTGTGAATACCAATATCTTGCTTTCACTCTCTTCTATTTGAATTTTTTATTTTATTTTATTTTATTTTATTTTCCCTAGAAGCTGCTCAAGAATCTGAAAATCATCAATCTCAGTCATTCCCATGACCTAACAGAATCACCAGATCTTTCCAAAGTCCCAAATCTTGAAAAACTGATATTGGTAAACTGTAGAAAATTGTCTCAGATTCACCCATCCATTGGGCATCTTGAAAGACTTTCGTTGGTAAATCTTGAAGACTGCAAAATGCTTCGGTATTTTCCAGGGGATTTCTGTAAGTCAAAATCAGTTGAGACTCTTATTCTTAAAGGCTGTACAGGATTTATGACTCTGAGGGACAAGGGGAAGCTGAGGGACAAGGGGAAGATGGTATCATCGACAACGCTTCAAGCAAGCCATACAATGACAACGAAATTACCATCCTCAGTAGCTGGATTGAAGAACCTGAGATCTGTGCTCCCTTCATCGCATGGCTTAAATTCTTTGACACTTTTAAGTCTTGGAAACTGCGGTTTAACTGATGATGCAATCCCTGAGGATCTTGGGAGTCTATTTTCTTTAGAAATATTGGAGCTTGCTGGCAATTTGTTTTGTAGCCTACCGAGCCTCAGTCGACTCTCCAAGCTTAAAATGTTAGATTTGAGTCGTTGCATACATCTTCAGGAAATCCCAGATTTACCAACAAATTTGGAAATCCTGAAAGCGGATGAGTGCATTGCATTGAAAAAGATGCCAGATTTTTCAGAAATGTTGAGTATGGTAGAACTGCATCTGAATCACTCCCCCAAACTCACTAAGATTCTAGGCTTGCATAAGTCGTTAAACACCATGAGAAGGATTCATATGGAAGGGTGCACCAATCTCACTGCTGCTTTTATAAAAGCAATCCTACAGGTCCTCTCTCTCTCTCTCTCTCTGTGCACCCATCCGTATACAGCTTATCCATACATGCATTTATTAACTTTTTGTACAAATCTTACTCCATGGCATAGGGATGGGGCGTGAGCAGAAATGGTGATCTTTTTTGTCCAGGAAATGATCTTCTATCAGGGTTTACATGCGATGACCCTAAGGATGAAATAGTTTCTTCTCTTTTTATCCCCGGAAATGATCTTCCATCAGGGTTTACATACTTTGACCCTAAGGAAGAAATAGTTGTGCCGCAATGTTTTGGTGATGATGCAAGAGCATTGACTCTGTGCATCGTTTATTCTTGCGACAACTCCCAATCTAGTGATTCACTTTGCATCCGTGTTGAAAATCGTACCAAAGAAACTGAGATTTCAAGCTGTCCAATGTATGCCACCGTACTAAATCGCCATGAAAGTTATATTTGGCTGGGACGTTTATCAAACAATACGCTCAATGTGAACGGTGGGGACAAGATAAATGTTGGTGCGCACTTTGTAGGACACGGGAGTACAGACGATATTCATCTCAGGGTGCAGAAAATAGGGGTTTACCTGGAGCAGGAAAATGTAGTCGATGAATTTTCCAATCCAATGACACTTTCCAGTGAGTATGAGAAGGAGGTCAATCTTATGCAAGACGAGGTGAGACTCTCATCTGAGGAGAATCTGTCTCGTAAAAGACAGAGGTATGACAAGGATGTCAATCTTATGCAAGACGAGGTGAGACTCTCATCTGAGGAGAATCTATCTCGTAAAAGACAGAGGTATGACAAGGATGTCAATCTTATGCAAGACGAGGTGAGACTCTCATCTGAGGACAAGGATGTCAATCTTATGCAAGACGAGGTGAGACTCTCATCTGAGGAGAATCTGTCTCGTAAAAGACAGAGGTATGACAAGGATGTCAATCTTATGCAAGACGAGGTGAGACTCTCATCTGAGGAGAATCTATCTCGTAAAAGACAGAGGTATGAGAAGGATGTCAATCTTATGCAAGACCAGGTGAGACTCTCATCTGAGGAGAATCGATCTCGTAAAAGACTGAAGTCTAACGTTGTTGAAAGAAATGCACAAGAAATTGATGCCCCAATAAACAGCTGCATGGACTAGGAGAAAAAAAAGGTGCGTAAAACAGAACTGGAGCCATTAGAAGATTTTTTTTACTGAAAATATGACTTTAGTATATGAGACTTTATTTTGTTCACATAAAACCCAATATAAGTTTTTTACTCAAATAAAAACTCATTGACTAGAATCCACATCAGCAAATTCATTAGTTATATTTGACTTTACACATTTAAAAAAATTTTGGATGCCAAAAGTGTTACGAACTTTTTTTTGAAATATTGTATTTTATTCTCGAGACATGTGAAATGACTAATTTGCCCGAGTGAGTGTCTTAATTAATTTTCGAGCCTCAACTCGAAACTTATATTCTTATACTTTCTTAAATTTCATAACAATTTTCTCGAACGTTAGTTCAACATCGAAAACAGACCAAGAGGGCATAATTGTTATTTTTGCAACTATGGAGGGTAATTGGGTGATTTCATTTAAATTATTTTAAGCGGGATTAAACCCACCACATCCGTTCCTCTCATTTTCAGAACACTCTTTCTAAACTCTTTCTCTCGAACTCACTTTCTCTCTCTAGCAATGTGTTAAAAGCGTGAGGCATGGGTGAGGCGTTCGAAGAATAGTCCAGCCTAGGCGTGAGACCTAAGTTTTTTAATATATACACTGAGCGTACACATATTACATTAAAAAAAAAAAGATTATTAATCAATAATCACCCTGAGTACATACATATTATAAATACATATACACATATATATACATATTTTATATATATATATATATATATAAAATAGAGGATGAAAAGTATAATGAGCAAATATATAACAATGTACGTAGAAAACACACATCCATTATATAAAAAAATAAAAATCAGAAAAAAATTAAAAAAAGGCAGAGAAATGATTGTGCAAGGAAGATGTATGAGACAATTAAAACCCTACCCAAAATTTGGGTTTGGGAGTAAAAAAATAAAAAATAAAAATCCCCTGAGGCACGCCTAGGTAGCTCTGGCAACGCTTTCCGCCCACTCTCTCAAAACAAAGGCGGCAACCCTCAAGCCCAGCCTCACAGGGCGCCTAAGCGCACCCTAAAGCGAGCCTTTTAAAACATTGATCTCTAGCACCAAGAGAAGTAAGCTCTCACTCTCTCACTTACCTTCACAAATCAAACCTAAATTTTACATATTCGAAGTCTGTGGGATGCAAGGATCACAATGGTAGTCTTGCATGTGAGATTGGTGCAGTGTGGAACTCGACACCATTGAACCCGAGAGCTTGAAGCTCTCAAACTTCACAAGGCGAGGCCTCTGTTTGTCCTTTGAATTTCCGGGTTTAATCATGTTTTTTTTCACCCCGTTGTGTTAGTTTTATGTTGAAACTCAAGGGTTTCGACCTCTGCAATTTTCTGTACCTTCGAACCCAGCCCCATCAACGAATTCCGGTGAAATGCTGTTGAGTTCGAAGTCGGTGGGTGTCCTAGTACGTCTATTCTCTCCCAGTTGTTTTTGTGATAATTAGGATGAGGTTTTGAACTCCATAATCGAGTCCTCACCCCTGCATGCACCTTGTATCTTTTTCTAGTTCCCGGCGAGTGTGAACAGACGAACTTCGGCGAGTTCATCACTAGTGGTGCACGGACCCCGTTGGAATCGAACCTAGGTAATTAACCTAGTTGCATGTGAGTTTTAGCTTCACTCGTTGAAATCGAGGTGGATTTAACCTCTCATCGTCCTAAAAAGGGTCTAGGTAAGTTCCTGATCATATTTAGGACTAAATTACAAAAATTTTGGCATTCAAATCTTTCAAGTCGAGCTCGGATTGGTCCTAATTGAAATCTGGAATCTTCTTCTGTTTTCGGCGAGAATCTGGCAACCAGCGATGGCGATGGGTGACGATCATCTGTTAACCTTAACAGTAGGAACTGAGATTCCGTTATCTACTATCAGAGCTGGTATATTCCGTTAACTCACTTAAAACCTCATTATACCGACAATGGCAACTGTGACGTCTACTCATCGAACTACGGCAGCGAGTACGACGTTGATGGCCCACAGCGGCGTGTGACGGTGCATGACGCAATCGCTGCGGCACATGCGGGACCCGTGACCTAGCCATGGTTTTTCGATGTTCTGAATCACATGACGCCATCCATTTGTGCAAATTCATTACCTAAATGGTAGTTTTTGGCAAATTTCCATAAAATGTCGATTAAAGATTAACTTAGCTTTGATATGATTATTACAGGCTTATTAGAAGATCAAAAGAGTTTAGGCAAGGAGCCTATTGAGGAGGGACGCTCTACTTACTTGTGAGTGGATTCCTTTGAAAAACTAAATGTTTCTACGATTATATATAAATATATATGTTTATATGCCTTTATATGCGGATGCATATTACTTATGTTAGTCTTTGATAAGACTTGTTGGAGCCGATTTTCCAGCACCGTGGAATGAAACTTGTAGATGAAGAACAGGCCAACACCGTGAGTCTGAGTGCCGTTCCCGGCATGGAGGCTCCCGATGCTTAAGTTAATGATTGTAGAGTGGTGTAAAGTGTATTTCTGGGGTGTGATGGGCTTACATGTGGTAAGGGGTCAACATGCATATTTATAGGCCTCCTGCCAAGTCGATCCACGTCACTCAACATTCTCTTGCATGTTCGGGAATAAAGGGTCTGACGAGTTGACTGATCTGACATACGAACGCCACATCGGAGAAGGACACTTTGACTCTTCTCCATCGTGGGTGAGAGGAGTGGCTGCACCAGACTATGTCGCCTGGCACATCACGTGGCCCAGAAGGTGCTGTGGAGGCTAGCCTGCGCAGCCTAGTACCTGAACAGTTGGTGGAGTCTGTACTCTGGATTAACCTGGTTCACTCCGGAGTTGAGTATTTTGTATTCGATAATATCGGGGAATCACGTGATTAGATTGATCCTCTTTGAGGTTAGGCTTAGCTTTCAATTCACTCTAAGTCTTGCCATAGGGTGCGGGCTTATGTTGTGTCCACTTCAAAGAGGTGATATTTCGGGGTCTTATAAGACTTATGCTTGAATTGTATTTAGATGGTATCTTGAGATCATTGGTGATTGATTTTCACTACATGGTTATCATACATATAGCTAGTTATGGCCGTACGACTTATTGCAGGTACCTTCTTTCTAGTAGAGGCTAGAATGTGCTACTCGACGCTAGATAACGATTAGGTAGATGTCACTTCACCTGCTTGCTATACATTTCGTTACTTGTGATTGATTTACTTTCTTTGATATGACGAGCAAGATTGAGTTGATCTTGACTACTATTATTTTAATATTACTATGTATGTAGTTTTCACTTTATTTGTTTTCAAAATAGGGACTATCATGTTGAATGATTTTAAATGTGATAAAACTGGTCCACTCACATTTTGTTTTGTCGACCCCTTCAGGACGTAAAAGAGAATAAAGAGAACGCCGGTGGTGACGAGTGGGCTTGGCAGTGAGGCTTTCATCATTTGGATTTAGGGTGATGGTTCTTTTACTGCAGTTTTATCTTTATTTGTAATAGTTGTATGATCACACTTTCGATTATGCGTAACACTGCACTTTTATGTGTTTATAGTTGTGTGAAACTTCTAGCTGCTCTAATGTGATGTGATAATAACGAGAGTTAATCCCGAGATAATTTGTGTCCCCAAGTGGGGAGGTTGATAAGTGAACTTGTAGAAGCTTTGGATTTCTTAGTGATGAACGTTTTTGGTCAAATTCTTGCACAACATAAATATCTTACTATGGCTTCGTCATTAAGTTGGTCTATGACATCATCTCTCAATGGGGTCATATGGTTAATTTAGTGTCGGCCAACACATTACGGGCCTATAACTTGTGTTATTGGGTTCGGGGTGTGTCAGTTTGGTATCAAAGCATGGTTAGGGAAAACATACATTTGCATTGTATGATGCAGGTAATTGTGCTAATTATTTAATGTCTACTTGGCAAATTATGCCGCCTAGGCGTGAACGTATTCCTATTCCGGGTTTACAACAGTAGTTCCAGTTAACTAAGGCATTAGCCCAACTGATTCCAAATGTGAATCGTGGTCGCACTTAGGCGAAAATTGTCGTGAGTCATTGTTGCCAAAATTAGATTAACTGAAATCAACCCAATTAAGTCCAAATTTTAATGCTCGCAAGTGTACGAATCGTAAAGTAGTATAGTAGGCAAGCACAAGATCATTCCAACTAAGATTGAAATAATTCTAATTATCTAACTTAATTTGTATTGCACTTGAATTGAAATGGAAAAATTGATGATTTGAGAAAGAACTTTGAAATTGTAAACGTAAATAATAATCAAATGAGCTTAAATAAATGACAAGAACAACAAAGAAATCAAATCATAAATCAATTGCGATAGACACTAGAGCATCCGATTCACCATAACCAATCCAACTCAATTCCTACAGTTAATTATTAATGAGTAATCATTCAAATTGACAGTCTAGTTTCTTTAATTCATATAGTATCCATGACATCTAGATTACTATGTATACTCATATGTGCTAACAATCTGTGTCATCTAGATTACTAAACACACACGAGTTCATTAACGATTTGTGAACTACTTAAGAGACCGCATGAAACCTAGTGTATGGCATCCACATCAAGGAATTCATGGTACCCTATGCAAGACACTAAAATCGAATTAACAACATGGCATCTGCGTTAACTTGCATCACATACACTCAACTCAAACCAAAGTGATGGCCAATCACCAAGATTAAAACTAAGCTCATAAGCACAGCAAAATGATACTCTAAGTGAATGAAAAATTCATAAATAATTAAATTGAGAAATTAAGAATTCATAGTTAGGCTACATTGTAGCCCTAGTGAAAAGAAATTAGTTCCGGAACATAATCGAAAATATTATTGAATTCATAAAATTAAAAGAAAAGTAAGTTTAGAAAAGCCTGAAAATCTCTTGCTTTGCCGCTGCCTTCTTCCCCTTGATCTCTACCTCCTTTTTCTCCTTTTCTTTCCTTGTTGAACGATGAGCAGTTTGCCTCACTTTAATTCCTCTTCTTTTTCTATTTCTTTATTGAATAATGACCAGCCAATTAACTATATTAATCAGCCGTTTGTTCCTTCTTTGTCTTGCCCGCTTTTGCTTCCTTCTTCTACTTGTCTTATTCTTCCTTTTCTTCTTCCCTCTTTTATTCATTTCTTCTGTTTTTTCCTTCTATCTTGCCCATTTTTGCTTCCTTCTTCTGCTTGTCTTATTCTTCCTTTTCTTCTTCCCTCTTTCATTCATTTCTTCCATAATGAGCAGTCCCAATTATCTCCAAATTAATGCCAATTGAACTCCAACTGTTCTTTTTGGTTTCTTTTGTCTTTCCCCTTAACTTCCTTCTTTCATTCTCCGTAGCTGACGAAGGTTAAAACCACAACCATAACCTTCATATTGCCCTCTTCAATTCTCTACTTGATTCGAAACGGTAATTGTATTTTCCAAATGGACATCCTCCAATTTTATTCCAATAAGTAACTTGCAAAGAGATTGAAGTAAAACAAATTTAAGCCACATGTATTTTCTAAATCTTAAATCCATAATCCACACTTCAATCATGGTCATAGGCATTTAAAACTAAGAAATTAATATGATTTTGATCCTATTCATAAGTATGACTATAAAAACTCAAAATCATATAATTCCTCTTGTTTAAATCCAACATGTCATCATAAAATGTAACTTTCTTGACGGTCGTGGAGCCGGGGAAGAAGTTGAATCTTGGTTGGAGCACATGTATGATGTCCTTGAGGTTATGAGATGTCGAGTGGACTAGAGAGTAAGCACAACGACTTTCTTCATGGTTGATAGTGCTACGAATTGGTGGAAGACGAAGCGTCGCAACATTATGGCCAATGAGGTTTAGACTTGGGATCTCTTCAAATAGTGGTTCAAGTGTAATTTTTTTTAGTCCTGAGTTTCAAGCTATTAAGAGATGAGAGTTCTTGGCTCTTGAGCAAGAGGATATGTCTATTGTCGACTATGAGCGAGAATTTCGGCAATTGGTAGAGTATTGCCCAGGTATTCGAGATAGTGCTGATGAGAAGAGAAAGCAGTTTATTTCTAGCCTTAATCCAGAGTTGTGCACTTATGCCGTTGTTAGTGACGGTATCACTTATGAGACAGCTTTCCACATAGCTCAACAGGTTGAACAAATGATTAATTGGAAGCAGGAAAAACAGACAGCGAAGGGTAAGCAAGCGAGCACTAGTCGTGGTGGATGATAGTTTAGTGGATTTAAGAGTAAGTTCAAGGCCAAAAATATCAAATAAGCATTGTCCATGGGCGGAATGAAGAGAAAGGAAACTTTTAAGAAGAAAGGTCAGCTTTATGGGTCTACTAGCGGTGGATCTAACAATACTACACCTCGTGCCAACATGGGTTCTACCAGCAGTGGCTAATTCTCTGGCAACGGATCTTGGGGTGGCTTTTTTTTTAAGGACCACATACCTTTCTGCACTACTTTCCTCACATACCATCATGGTGAGTGTAGATCAGGTACGAGACTTTGCTTCAATTGTTGTTAGCTGGGACATTTTCAAAGGAATTGCCTTTATCCGAGGCAACATTCGGGGATATCTTACGAAATGACTCAGCAGCTTGAACCTGAAGTTCCGCATAATTCATATTAGTAACTTGCACCTTACCTTCTTATGGGTAGCAGTTTTTTTCAGCCCAGTTTGTATGCCTATCCTCTTATTCACCAGTTTTCTCAACTTGTTATGCCTTAAGTTCCACAATCTACTCCGTAATTTGTTCAGCAGAATACTTCTTAGGGACATTCCAGCAGTGGAGCTTCTAGTAGTTAGAGTCAAATTAACCAATGGCGTCGTCGGGGTCAGACTTTGAGTTCTCATGGCAGACTTACTTCTGGTGGTTCGGGTGGCGCAACGCAAAATCATCTGTTTGCAATGAATTATCAGCAGGCCGATAAGGATCCTAATGTTATCACTAGTACGTTGAATGCTTTTGGATATCCTGCTCGAGTTTTTTAATTGATTTGGGTACTACCATTTATTATATCATGAATTTGGATTATTTATTCCTACAGGAGAAACTATTCGAATCAATTGGGAATTTAGAAATTGTTCGATCTTCGTGAGTGCAGTACTCATGGAAGCGGATCTTGTACCCTTGCATATGGTAAATTTTGACCTTATCTTGGGTATGAATTGCCTATTGAGACATCATGCTCGCATTGATTGTTTTTGGAAGTTGGTAATTTTTCGTCCACCTGGATGACCATATGTGGAATTCCAGGGCGAATGAAAGATCTTATCTAATAGTCTTATTTCTTAACTTTGAGCTAAAAGACTCTTGTCTAAAGGATATGCGGGATACATTGCTCATGTCATGGTTAAAGAAAAAGAAGTCCCTAATGCTGAAGATATGACGATCATAAATGAGTACCTCGATGTATTTCCGAATGATCTACCTAGATTTCCCCTGATCGAGAGATTGAATTCACCATCAATCTTTTACCAGGTACTAATCCCATGTTTTTTACTCCGTATCATATGACACCTACCCAGTTAAGAGAATTGAAAATTCAACTACAAGAACTGGTTGACAGGGTTTTATTCAACCTAGTATCTCACCTTGAGGTGCTCTAGTTTTGTTTGTTAGGAAAAAGGATTGTAGTATGTGATTGTGCATTACTATCATCAATTGAACAAGGTGACATTCAAGAATCAATATCCTCTACTGAGGATAGATGATTTGTTTGATCAACTCAAAAAGGCAGAAGTCTTTTCCAAGATTGATTTAAGATCGAGGTATCATCAATTGAAGATCCGAGCTAAGGATGTCCCTAAAACTGCATTTCGGACCTGGTACGGTCATTATGGATTCCTTGCCATGCCTTTCAGTGAATGCTCCTGTGGCTTTCATGGATTTGATGAATAGGGTTTTTCCAATCTTATATTAGACAAATGTGATGATCTTTATCAACGATATCTTGACATATTCGAAGAGTGAACAAGAACATGTCCGGCTTCTAAGGTTGCTATTGGAAAGGTTACGAAAGAGAAAGTTGTTAAGGTCAACAAATGTCAATTCTGGTTGGATATCATTGGTTACTTAGGCCACATCATCTCGGCCGAGGGAATCTTTGTTGATCCCAAGAAAATTTTTGCCATTCTCAATTGGAAGCAACTAAAGATTGTTACTGAGATTTGAAGTTTCTTGGGTTTGGTAGGATACTACCAAAGATTCGTGAAAGATTTCTCGTCAATTGCTGCCCCACTTACTAAGTTGACCCTAAAGGGTGTGACTTTTAAGTGGAATGAGGATTATAAGCATAGTTTTCAAGAATTTAAATATCGCCTCACTCATGCTCCATTACTTGTAGTTCTTGACGAGAATGGTGAATATGAAGTTTACACTTATGCCAACACACAAAGGCTTAGGCTGTGTTTTGATGCAGCAAGGATTTCACTACAAGGGGTTATTATGTTATGAAAAGCGAAGGTTTTAGAAACCCTTATTTTTGCCTACTCACGCTCTTTGTTTTGCACCTCTCCAGGGCTTACTAGTTGGATTTTGTGGTCATGAGGGATCACTGGTGGTTTTGACATTCGCGTACAATAATGCATGAGTTCTACCTCCTTTTAGTTGTATAATATCCATCCTAACCAGGATGAGAATATTCTCTTTTTTTGTTGCAATGTTAACTATGCTCTGACACTGCATCATTGT